TCCGAAGGGGATGGATGGTGCATTAGCGATCAAACTCGTCGGTCTCTTGTCAACATCAAAAGTGTGGTGGGCCGCACATCTTGTGACTATGAAAAAAAGGTGAATTGTGCAGAGTCTTGATGTTGCATATCGCCACCCAGTTAAATGCTCGGAATAGTTGCGTGTTTTCCATTTGTCTATATGAGCAAGGGCTCATGCATATGTGGCTTGGAAACAAGGCACGGACCCGATTTCTACAGGGAATTGTCTTACTAAGAACTCCTACCCGGCCTTGTACGGAACCCTTCAACCATGACGCGTCCAACGCAGCTATGATGGTTCGTATCGTCTCGAGTCAGATTGCAAGTTTTATATGCTCGAAGGATTCAAATTGGGCACATCCGAAGTAACACAAAAGACCAAGTGAGTTCTAGCTGCTACCTTTTTGAAAAAATAGCACGAGCATAGTATGTTTGGTATAAGTATCATCAATCCCCAAAGCTTTTCCCTGCGTGTCTCGGTATCGTATTTACCATGTTCACTGAAATCGATACCAGGCTATACTACAGTAATGCAACTATCGAAACTCTGCATACGCGAAATGCGCTGGACTCAGAACAGGCTGCATCTCACCAAAAGAGTACAGCCCCATCATCATACCTGTAAAAGGCTGTCCAACCTCAGGGGCGCGCGTCATGACCTGGGTGTCAATGTTGCCCAGCCAGGTCCAGCTCTCATTCGCTTCGTGTGCGTCATGATTGACATCTCGATATCCCAATCGATAGCTAGTCTCAATGCTTTCAATGATCAATTTTACTGCACCTTGCTCTGATATGACTGCCTCCTTAACTTCCTTGTCTGGGTCAGTCAATCGGACGGCTCGTTGCAGCCGTCCATCGCGCTCGACAAGTGTAATCCCTATGCTGGCGTAGCACGTATGGTTCCACCAAACGACAGTCCCTGCCTCGACGCGTCTTGCTTCAGGCTGAAAATCTAGTTGGGTTTCCCAAATAACAGGCCAATGGTTTTGCTTCCGTAGGAAAAGTGTCGGGCAAGCAGGCATCGACAAGGTATATGGGCCACCATACAGCGTGAGCTCATTTGAGCGGGCTGTCATCGAGAAGTCCTGTCTCACCGGGGTATCTGTGCGGTTTTAGTGACCGTACCCTAGTTAAAAATAGTGATGAATAAGTCCCCTTACTTTTTCTATACCAACCCAGCCCTAACTTGATTCCCGTAAAGTCGTCTCTCCATCTCTTGTCATCCTCGACGACGTAGCCATTTGGCGCCTCCATTCGCAATGCAACCGCCTTGCCTTCGTTGAATATTGGCCAGTCATTCTCCCAGCGAACCGGAAGCAGCATCGATTCGCGCCCGAAGACCGAGGTTCGCCATGAGCTACCTTCTCTCCTGGGTCGCACACCTAGACACATAGCCCACCACTGACCCTGGGAATCCTCAACCACGTCGCAGTGCCCAGTGTTTTGGATCTCATCATCTGTTGTATTGCGCCATAATGGGTTGTGCGGCGCTGCTTCCCACGGCCCGAAAGGACCTTCTCGGCTTCGGGTTACATACTCGCAGTGCCCGGACTCAGTACCTCCTTCAGCAGTGAACAAGTAGTAGTAGCCGTTGCGCTTGAAGAGATGGGAGCCTTCGGCGAAACCGGAAGCGGAATCGCGAATCATCCGTGGTCTGGATGCCAAAGTTCCAGACTTGAGATCGACCGTGGATATGTGAACAGCAAAATCTCGTATCTTGGGATCCGGAGAGCGATCAATCTTGCGATAACAGGATGACAAGTATACCAATCCATCATCATCCCAGAAGAGGTCAAAGTCGAAGCCGACTTGATCAAAATATACTGGATCTGACCAGCTACTGTCATTCCAGATGTTGCTGGTTTTCACGTAAAAGCCCCGAGGCCATACGCGATCATCGATTTGCGGACGATACCGGTCGAAAGAGTTGGTAATTATGTAAAACTCGCCGTTATGGTACCGAATAGTTGTTGCCCAAACCCCACCTCCAGGTTCGGGGGTCTTGATATCAAGCTGCGACTTGCGCGTGAGAGCATGGCCGATTAAGACCCATTTGATGAGGTCTTTGCTGTGGTAAATTGGCACCCCAGGGAAATACTCAAACGAGGATGTAACACAAAAGAAGTCATTCCCGGCCCGAATGACTGATGGATCGGGATTGAAGCCCGGAAGAACCGGGTTGGCAAACGTGCCGGTCTTTGAAGACGCCATATTTCTGCGTTGTATAGGTAGGCAGTCAGACGTTAATGCTTCCCGGTCCAGAGAACAATTGCAGGTCGAAAGTTGGCCTTTGGTACGACTTGCAATTTCCCGATACGTGGCACAAGTTGTCGTGCATCAAGACGAACGTTGCCCGCCGAGCACTAAGTAGTACCGCGTGTAAGTAGATAGTACTAAAGTACAATCGTGCTGTTGTGAGCGCTGTTCTATTTCGAGTAAGCCGGCACCGATGCGGCACAGCTATTTTCCTCAAATCATGGGATCTACGGCTGCAGCGGGTGACGGCTCGGGACCTCGGAGTCGTTGTGGGTCGAAAAGAAGCCGTTGAGGACAGATGGGGTGAGTGAGGGGTAGCTTGGCAGTATGAGAGTCTTGGATTTCTCATGGCAAACAATCAACCCCGTACACATAACTCCATCAAAAGTCGGAAATCAGAATTTGGCAATGTTTCCGTCCACGGTTAAAGGAAGCTATCGCACGCTCCACCATTGTCCATTTGGCATCAAAGACCCGGGTATGCAAAGCCCATGACATTTATTGCATGGCACGCTGTCATGAACGCCGCGAAAATGACACCGTCTCTAGGTGTAGTCGTGGCCCGGTAGACCCTACATACATACGCGTGTTGGACTTGAATCAAGGGTACTGCTATATGACATACAGCGTATATTCTCCACGGTGAGTAAATTTACAGAGTAGGTAGCGAGCTTGCAATGGGATCCTTGTAAGATGAATTCCTCTTTGAGCCCACCCTAAATCATTTTCAGCACACTCAAGCTTTTGTTGTCAGACTCGTCGATTTTTTTTACAGAAGCTGGGAGTACATCTGAATATCAAACTCTGGGCGATGCCCGTCATTCTCGGCAGGGCAAGCCATGTCGAAACTACCGAGAGCGCCAGATGCGCCACCAACGATATTGCTATCACAAATGCCGAGGATGTCCCATGGACAGTTATTTTGGTTCGTACGAAGCTGCCGATATGCCCCTTGCTTTGTTGTTCAACCTTGTTTTCCACAACAATTATCTCCGGACCAATTACGCAGCTATCACGTTTCGGCAGATGTGAAAGCAATATTCGAATCAGCACAAACTTGGCTGCACCCTACCCGATGCTGTTTGGATAAAATTCGTACATACTGTAAGCAATCGGAATAACGACAGTCTAAATAACACTTTACTTTGCCCATGTTCGTGATTTAGTAGGTAACCGGCATACCACCCGGGAGCTCCTTCAACCAATTTCCGCCCACACCGACATCCTCAACCACTTGTTGCGATTTCTTGCACTTCATCGAATCTTGAGCAGACTGTATTTTCAGAACTTGGCAATTGGCGTTAGCACACTTGCCACTCGGAAGAGCATCCATAGCCCTCTGTAAAGAGTCGTCTTTCCAACCGAAGAGATAGTCGCCGTGCTGGCCATAACCGGTACTGCACATGTTTAGTGAATGTTGAAGATGTTACTGGATAAGACTTACCCATCTCCAAAGCTATATACGAACGGCTGTTTACCATTGCCATACCATGCGTTGTTTTTGTATCGCCCAGTATCCCACATGATCTCGTACATGACTTGCGGAATAGCAACTGGGTGTGTACTAGGGCAATTCGGTGACCCGAGGCCACCGCTATTCGAGTATGCAACGTGGCTCTTGTGATCGGGCGAGTCGAGGTTCTTACCGTCCCAGCACGATGGAAAGATTACTGTCGCCCGAATACCACCCGGGCAGTACTTGTTCGGAAGCTCTGCAGTGTCTTTCGCGTCGCATGGAGCAAACCCTTCCCCGTTGCCCAAACATCGATGACAGATGCTAACACGATTTGGCCTTTTGGCCATAGGGTCGCCGGCGATCATGCGAAACCCAGGCCTGAAGGCTGTCATCTTGTTATTCTTCGCCGAATACGGCATGTAATAGACCGTCATTCCGCCATCCTGCTGGAGCCCGACATTGGCGAATTGAGGCACTCGCTGAAAAGTACCATTATCAGGTGACTGAAAGTATAGCGATGCAGTCCAATAGTTGCTAAAGTCTTCACTGTAGGTGCAAGATGTGCATGTGGAGCGAGTAGGTGGATCAAACACGCCGGGCTCCATCTGAAAATGTCAGTCAGTGCCATGGAATGAATGAAAGAATCATACGGTGAGATTGAAAGAGTTCCCTCCAATAATCTGATGGGTATGCGGTGAGGGCCGCTGCCCGGGAGTCACAAGTGGATCCGCTCGTTCGACAGTCAGCTGCGAACATGCGAACCGTAGCATGTTCTGGGATAAGACACATTGTGCCAGGAGCGGGACGGTCGCAAATCTAGGCCAAAACATCGTAACAGCTTTCAGAAAGAAGTTGCTGGGATAGAATGAGAAAACATATTATGAACATATAGACCTTTTAAGCTCATGCTAAACTCCTGAATTTCGTTAGCTATGATATGAATGTCACCTTGTATAAAGCAAAGATGAAAATTCATTTGATAATTAGCAAGTGTACCAATAATGTCATGTCCATTGATGAACCGTTTTATTCTTCAATGAGTGATCGTCAGAGACGGGGCTTGATAATCTCCACGTTTTTGTCTGGATAAATGTTCAATCTATGCAGCGAATCGGCAGTTGCTTCAAGATCGTCATAAATAAGCTCTATTAAGCTTTCGCTTCGCATCTTGCTCCATACAACCACGCGGCCTTTGGTGCCTCGAGCGTGGCGTGCTGCGGATAGGCTCGGTATCAACTGCCGAAAAAACGACCAGCAAGGCGGATACTCTACGTACTATGGAGCATCTGGGGAGCATTCCTGAAAATGGGGCTCTTCGAAAAAAAACGATCAGTTGACAAGAGCACCCTTATCCGGATCAATAAACGGAGTGTACAGTGATATCGACGATCAGAGAGGTACCATGCTCTTTTGTCGATTACTACATTGTCACACAAAGTGAAGAGTTTGAGTTGTAAGAGAAGCAACTTGAGAGGATAGCAGAGAAACAGAAGATAGTGGCTTCGGGAACTAGCTGTCCTAGCGATATGGAGCAGACCTATAGACGTGAGATACGGTTGCACTGTGCAGAGATGATCGCAGCGCATCTCACGACGAAAGCAGTTTTTCTCTATCACATGAGGTTCTCCGAAGCGAATAATCTTGCTCTGCAAGTACAGCTTGACCGACGGTCTTTGTCGCCTTGCTGGAAACATCAGACAGTCACTGAATTCTTGGATTGTGCACTTTGATGCTAGTGTTGAACGCTATTCACTACATACGTCTTACTGCGCAGGAGCTATAATTATTTATTTCTAGCACCGCGTTCATTAGCAATCTGCTACGGTTTCAACCTCGAGCTATTATTATTATTATTATTATTCTAGTTTAACGTCCTGTGTCAGCCGGTGGGCTATATAAGACGTGTAGGCTAGGCCTACAGGTAACTACGTAGTGCTATCAATTTGGTGTAGGTAGTCAACCTCGAGCTAGATCTAGTTAGAATTTTGCATTGTCCTCTTCACTTTCGGCAACCTGAATATCATATTCGAACAAGTATCGCAATGCTGTTCAAAACGATACAACATCTGCAGCTGCGAAGGCATGTCAAACGCTGTAATATACATGTAATGCCGACACCGGTGTATGTGAGGTGAGTGTGTAAAGGAATGAGGGCGCCCCCACTTCCAGATTGGACACAGTTCAGCAACCTTTCGCTTCTTTGGTACTGAATTGGCGCTATTATGTTTTGGTTCCTGATTAGCATCTATGTTTTTCACCCGTATAATTCTTGGACCCGCTGTGAGCCTAGTGATTGCACAATTTAGGCATGTTGTATCTTGTTCCCTGGCTTATCTCTAGCAAAAGAAGATATTAGTCTGAAACGATCGAAAGATCGGTAAGCAATAGGATCACAATTGGCCAAGTTGTTGGATTGCTGATCAAACCAATTGATACCAGTTTTGCATCCAGGCATTCTGGGTTGTTCCCGAAAAGATGTGGTCAACAGAAGTCCGGTGCGGACGGCGGCGCTATCACATTCATCAAATACGCACCGAAAAGGTACTATAAAATGTAGCAAAGCCTTAATAATATGACCGTCGCTTTATCTTTATGATTCATTTGCTAAGCTATTCAATATATGTGTTGGTTTCAGGATCAGGCACCAGTCCAAGTAGAGCCCTCAAACGTGTGCGACTCTACTGATACAGGCAAAAATGCGTACGCCAAAAGACACTAGCATATAGTAAAACCAGACATTTTAAAATTCTCAAATAAGAGCTTCAGTTCTTGGATATCATGGCTCCGACAAACCCTTGGGTCTGCAGGGTAGGCTCATGGAGATCGTCTCTCACCGACACTCAATCATGCAGGCGTTATCCGCATATTTCTTCTTCCAGGTACCACCGTTGAATAAGAGATTGACGAAGCTTTCTCTTATCTGGCAAGTTCAACACTTGCGATGCTGGTTCTGGTCGCGCCTTGTCTTCAGCTCCCTCATAGTGATGGCCATCGGCGCACAGTACACCTGTATAGGACGATTATAATTTTCACCAGAATAGGAAATTTGCAGAATCCAGAATCGAAAAAAGTGCGAGGGGGTTTGGAGACGCAATTCTCGTCATCGTGTCCATCCAGGGCTGACGATGGTGCATTGCTGTCAGCACGCCTCCCCGCAGTTCCGACGCGCGATCCCGGACGGCGCCCGTCGCTAGCACAGACGTGGGTCTCCACTTTCAAACCCGAGAGTAGTCAAGCCTCAGGTCTATCGCAGCGCCATCTTTGCGAAGTGGTGCATGCTCGCTCCTCTGCTATCCAAGGGTCGACTCCATAATCCAGCTTTCGCATATCCCGGAACTCCGGATCTGGAGAGAACAATCAGATAATTTTGATGCGCTTGTAAGGTGATAGTCTGAAGCTGTCGCCATCATGTTCCTTGGATCAATGCAAGGAAGAGCTGCTGACACGCTCCGCACTTATCGATGCTTTTCCATAGAGGTCAGCGTTGTACACACCGCCATGCATGTCCCACCTCCAGGAATCTCGAAATTGTGTGGTATACTGTGGTGTAGGCCTTGCTATCAAAAGATCCCAAACATGGTAACCGCGTTATCCAGGCCTCCACCAACTATTGCCAAGACTGAAAATGCATCGTGAATGGAAATTTTGCAAGGGTCAGCGATGCACTACGGAGGTGCGAGCCAGACGCATCACTGCAGTCTTTGCTTAGTGCAACTTGAACTGATAGTGTTAGAAGAGCAACCAACCAGTTCACAGAACTGGGACGATGATCAAAGTTTCCCACTGCAGATCTTGTTCCAATCATTGTCCTCACATCGACGCATTCTCCGACGCGGACTTGGAGTGCACCATCGGCAGAATCTTGAGCACCATTGGTGTGAATGCCACAATGCACCCGGAGACTACATAAGTGTTCTCTCCACTCCATCAATCTCAGATCAACCTCAACTTCTATCGTCTATCAATACCAACTGTAAAAAGATGGCTGCTAACCCTGATAATGTCGAACTCGTTCCTGGCACTGAGATCATGAACAATGATGGTTCGGTGGAGAAACAACTCATTCCGAAGCCGTCATCTGATCCACGAGATCCCCTCAATTGGAGCCGTAAATGGAAGAGTATGTTTTACAGAAACATGAACTATCATCGCCATACTGACAGATCATAGTGATGGTGATGGCCTCTCAATGGCTCTTTACGTGGATATCTGTAACTGGTGCGCTATCCATAGCCCCAATGTTCCCACTGCTGGGTGCACAGTTCCACTTGAACAACAATCAGTTAGCCATGTTGACTGGTATAACTGTCATTACGCTGGGCTTCGCAAACTTCATCATCGTGCCACTGTCCAACATCTTCGGACGTCGCGCCATTAGTCTGGTGTTTTCTGTGCTGATTCTTTTGACATGCGTGTGGCAGGCGCTAGCGACGAGCCATAGCAGTCTCCTGGCAGCTAGGGCGGTGAATGGTCTAGTGTGTGCGACTAGCGAGAGCATTCCCATTCAGATGATTGCTGATGTCTTTTATCTGCACGAACGAGGCCTGTGGACCGGTGTTTACTTGTAAGTACAAGGGCGGCTGTGAGATGCATGAGAAACTCCTAACATTGATAAAGCACTGGATATTTCATGGGAGCCTTCCTTGGTCCTATTATGGCTGGCGCTATTGGAGGTCATTATGGCTGGCAATCGTTCTTCTGGCTCGAGACAGCACTCTCAGGTGTCTCAATCATTCTTATTGCATTCACCTTCCCAGAAACAAAGTACCATCGTGGCAGCAATGCCGTCGCAACCAATAGTCCCGTACAAGCCAAGGAAAACGAGCGCAACAGCAAAGACGACAGTCAGCTCGAAAAACAAGCCACGCTTACTACAGCCAACGACTTGGACCAGGATACGTCGGATGTTTCTGTAATGGCGAATGGCCGCCCGTCTCGTGCACAATTCATGCCGTTCCGGAAGCCCGACCCCAGATGGAGGATGTTTGTTGTGCGCGATACATGGACTCCTATTAAGGTTTTCTTCAACCCTATTATCCTATGGGCTGGGTTGATGTTGGCTGGTCCGGCTGATCTTCTTCTCTTTTTCAACATCACCGAGTCTCCAATCCTTGCGGCGCCACCCTACCTCTTCCGACCCGACCAAGTTGGCTACACAAACTTCGCCTTCGCCATCGGTGCGCTGGTGGGTCTAGCGACAGCAGGCCCGTATTCAGATTGGGTGGCTGCTCGGGCGACTCGCAAGAATGGTGGTGTGCGCGAAGCAGAGATGCGTCTTCCTGCACTTTGGTTTTACATGATCATCACCATGCTCTCTTTGATCCTCGGAGGCCTCGCGTACCAGCACCAATGGGCATGGGGCCACATTGTTGTGTGGGGCTATGGCTTCGCCGGACTTAGCGTCACCACGGTGCCTACTATTTGCATCGCTTATGCAATCGACTGCTATAAACCCATCTCTGGCGAAATCATGGTGGTGGCGACTGTATGCAAGAACTTCATTGCCTTCTCATATAGCTATTGGGTCTTTGATCTAGCACATGAGAGTAAGAATGGGTGGATGACGCCGGCCATGGTCATCTTCGCTTGCACCGTTGGCCCGGCTCTTTTCGCATTCCCACTGTATTATGGTCTAGGAAAGAAGATTAGAAGATGGACCAAGGACAGCGATGTGCATCGCATGGAGGAGGTGATTCAGTAGCGTGATCGACAAGCATTACATCAGGGTGTAGTGTACCGAGTCTGAGGGTGGTGGTTGTTTGAGCCATGGGCGAGTTCCATTTGTATGATTGGATTCAGAGCAGTCATTGTAGGTGTAGAGTCTTAGAAGAATATACCCAATAAACCTATGTTGCGCGTTTGGACACACAAGTAGATCTAACCCTAACCCAGATTATCACGCTAACCGTTGACGTCATGCTAGATTTTCCGGCGCTGCGCATCTCCCACCAAATATAACATGCACCAACATTGTACAAATCATATCCTACCGTCCAGTTTTGTTGGTAAAGCTTCAATTCCGCGCAATGTCTATCGCTTCCCTTCAAGACAAGGTTGCTATAATCACTGGGTGCAGTTCTGGTATTGGCCTCGCGACGACACGCCTTTTCCTGGAACGTGGAGCTTCTGTCTTTGGTATAGATATTGGTGCACAGCCCCAGAAGCTCGCCGAGGACTTTTCGACTTTTATCTTCTATCAGACCGACCTTGCTGATTCTCAAGCCGTTGAACATGCCGTGGCAAAATGCATTGGCAAGCATGATCGTATTGATGTCCTGGTCAACTGCGCAGGCGTTAGTGACGGGTGGAGTAGCGCCGACACGATCCACGAGGAAGAATGGGAAAGAGTCATGGCCATTAATTTGAACGTGCCGATTCGTATGATGAAGGCAGTACTGCCCGCCATGAAAGCACAGAAGAAGGGTGCTATTGTCAATGTGGCTAGCAAGGCGGGCATGTCTGGCGCGAGTGCAGGAATTGCTTATACGGCTAGCAAACATGGCCTAGTACGTAAAGATTTCTCACACGCATAGTGAATACTGACATGTCAGTAGGTTGGTGCTACCAAAAATGTTGCGTGGCGATTCCATAACGAAGGAATTCGCTGTAATGGCGTGCTGCCAGGAAGTGTCGCCACAAACATTGCAAGTTCAGTGCAGATGGAGCATTTTGATTCCGCCGGCTTCAATGCCTTTTTGTAAGCCCTCTCTCGCTCGATGTATATAACAATGGCTTACTCTGTTAGCCCGATTGTGCAGCTTCACGCATCCAAAGATAATGAGGGAACACCTGTTCCCTACATAGGTGTTGATCATGTCGCGCGGGGCATCGCCTTTCTCGCCTCAGACGAATCACAAATGATCAACGGCGCTATGGTTCCTATTGATAACGCGTGGTCCACAATATAATGTACACGAAGGGTAAGCAGCCCAGACGTGTCAATATTAGTTGACTTACCAAAACACCAGTATAGTTACTGCCACCTCTTACGGCTCATCTGCAGGTCTATATTCATAGAATGTATCGTGTCTTAGTGCCTCCGGATTTACCGCGCCTGCAATACTCGGGTTTCTAATAATCGTTCTCGTAACCCTAGCATAACTACCCATGCTATTAGTTGTAGTACCAATAGCCGTCCCCTCCTCGATCCCTGTTTCTCAGCATTCTTTTACGCAGAGCTAGATATTACTGGATTCAAAGTACCTATGTACTTTGTTTCCATGATCTCACAGTATTAGGAAAGTTTCGATTAAGGATGGCTAGATCAGGCCAAGCGGTTTTGCCTTTTGTTCTTTCGAAATCTTTCCCCTAAGACTTACTCAAAAATCACTCACCAAACAAAGATACGACTAGCACATGAGGGATTATTGATATATTCTGTGTATTATGTGAAAACGTAATTACATTGTTTTTAATATGACATGGAAGTCGCATGCAGGATTGGCTTTAACTAATACTACTAGCTATCCAATCAGGACGCGGCAGATATGCGCATTGAGTAGGTAGAGCATGCGTTGATGCAATGAAGCCTTGCATTTATGTGTATGCACTCGATGATAACATGATTTGAGCATTCAAATCCGCGATTGCCGCATTAGTTACAGGGTAGCTGCACCTTTCTGGCTCATAACTAATACTGCACATGTCGTCAGCTATGTTAGCATGCTTATGTATTCCTACAGTGTAGCATATGTAAGCACGGCTGTGTCGGATTACGCCCGACACATGAAGCACTCGGCGAGCCTAGTTATAGCCTGTACATGCAGTAATGATCTGCAACAGACTACTTTATATCTATCTTAACCTGGGTATTCTTCGGTGTAACATACCACATTGATATTGAATTTTGTGCTTGCTTGCCTCACTGCCAAAGTACCTGTAGTACAAGCGCGAAGATGCAACTATTCATCTCGGGTCGGATAGAGAAGAACCCCGAGAGGCAATGGCTACCGATTCAAACATTATCCGCCCAGCTCCGAGTTGTTGACGGGTAATGGTTTGTTCCGGGCATCCTAGTAGAACATTGAGCTGCTAGTAGGTTATATAGGCAATATGTCACGTGATATATCGTGCTTCGGCAGAAGCTTCAAACTTACGGTCTGGGGATATCAACAACAACACGTGAGCGCTCTCGAACAACATGACAGGGATGGGTCCTGTCATGTCATTGAAATCCTCACAGGGATAGCCTCTTTCCGACCCGAGAGGAATATGTCAAATTTCTACGTCATCGCTAAGACGTGATCTATTAGCGCTGAGCTGAACCTCGCCGTTATCAGATAACTAATAACCAATCCTGCAGCTACCAGCTACATGTATAATATGCCATCAATTCGCATTCCAAATGGTATTAATCTGCGTATCCAAAGGACAAACGCTTCATCATTTGACCATTACTACTACCGTTCAAGATGTATATCGTACCATCTTTGTTAGTAATTACTACTATTTCAGGCTCTACTCTGGGATTTAATCGCCCACCATCAAATACGAATCTCTTGCAAGAGGCGTATACAGTGAGTCTGTATGTGTCTTTCTAAGCAACAGATCTAAAATGTTGTCAGATCTATGGCCCAAACTTCAATTTAACAAGGTCGATGACGGCTGGATCTGGTGAACCAGTCCAGAGCTACTGGTACGCATCCTATTTGTCTGGAGACAACGGTCATGAATACTTCAGTATTGCTTGTATTTTCAAAGCTGCCAAACCAGGTTCTATCAATTCCCTCGTCTCCCTATTAGACATTGAAACGGGAGAGTACTATGGCCAAAACCATCTCGTTCCGGGAGTGATCTCGAACAAGACGTACGATATCGATAGTGGCATACTCAGGCAATATGCGAGTACAGCAGATTTAGTATCTGTTCAACATGCGGAAAGCAGCGATCCCTATGCTACATTTAACCTCACATTCGAGCCACGAGGACCTAATCTATACCATGGAGGGTCAGGGGTACGTATTATTATTATTCCATTATAGTCCTGTATCAGCCGTTGGCTATGTAGGACTTTGGCCAGAGGCCGTTCTATCTAAC